ATCCGCCAGGGATATATCCACACCAATTGATTTAGCGATGTTAATCACAATTTCATCGGTTGACTCTTCTGCTTTGTAACAAATGCCCCATGGATCCAGGAATGAAGTTTTTCCTCCAGTCTGTCATGTGGGATAGGCAGGTGTACAAAGTTGAAGAATCAGCTGTTTTGAAATAATTGAACTTGGTTCATTTCTGAGATTGTAAAAGGTCCAGCAGATCCTTTGAGTTTTTGAGAATTCACATGATATTAATTCCACTTGTCTCAAATACCTTCTGTGACAAAACACAGAGAAGTCTTCCCTTGATTGTCTTACGGATTGTGGTACATGCGCTTGACCTAGCAATATGCTGTTTGTACAGATTTTCATAAGCCTTGCAATCCAGTACAAAAGAGTGATGCACATGTCTTTGGTTTTAGAGTGGAGTCAAAAGTTGATAATTGTAGTAGGCTACCTCTAATAGGTGCCAGTGACAGCAGTTAATATAGTTGAATTAAGAATACATTACAATGTCATATTACAATGCTAGCTAAAATACTATATACATTAACAATGCTTAAAATACATAGTAACCTAAGCTTCAAGATAAATAAAGTAATAATTGAATGAACTTACCCTATATGACACAGTGAAGAGAACATGCTGAGAAATATGTGCTGACTGACCAGCAGAAGTTGTGACCAGGGTATCCACATGATTGCAGAGAACATGCAAAAAGCTAGAAAACAATAAGCACCTAATGACAGGCCAAGCCTGTGACAATAGCCATGAACCTAAGAATGAAATGGCTGAACTACCCAAGATATATTCAGAAACTAGCTTACCTGTGAATTAGTAGATTTGTGCAAGTGCTGAACACAAGTATTTAAGAAAATAAATATGAAATATTTAGGTTAGCTTATTAATTTAATTCATGTTAGGTTACTATAATGATACTTTAAAATCTAACACTATTCTATTTACAAGCATACTGCTACATTCTCCCCTGCCACAGAAAATGGCATCCTGAAATATATTCTATGTTACAGCAGAACCAGTTATCAGAAATAGCATAGCCTTGTAGGCCTCTTCTGGGAGGTCCTGCAAAAGTCTGCCTTCAGCTAGAGTCTTAAGAGAACGATGTTCTTGTTTTCCAATCTGTCAAAAATGTTATTGCTTGACTCATACAAAACTCTCCACTTACCAACCAGGCTGGCGACTGACACTGTCTTGTAGATCGCCTAGGTGGTAGAGTTGGTAGAACTCTCCTAGGCACCCTAATAGGTTCTGCATCTGGATCTGGACCTGGACCTGGTTGGTTGGTTGGTTTGTTGTTTAACGCCGCACTCAGCAATATTCCAGCTATATGACGGCGGTTTGTAAACAATCGAGTCTGGACCAGACAATCCAGTGATTAATATCATGATCATCGATCCACGCAATTGGGATCGATGACATGCATCAAACCAAGTCAGCGAGCCTGACCACCCGATCCTGTTAGTCGCCTTTTACAACAAGCATAGGTTGCTGAAGACCTATCCCGGAATCTTTACTGATCTGGATCTGGTTCTGGTTCTGGTTCCGGATTTGCCTCTCCTTCTTCCTCAGCTTCCAGTTGAGAACTATCACCAGCTGTTGAATTACCTCCTTCTTCCCCCTCTTGAACCATTGCAGCAGTTGAATCTTCCACATCTACACAGGTTTCAGGCCCATCTGCTTCAGCTTGTGAGGCAGCATTCGACGGAATGCTAACCACTGAAGATACATCAGTGAGGTCCACAGGTTGTGACTCAACCAGTACTATGGAATCATCGTCAGACTCGCTGTCTGATAGTGATTGGGTAGACTCTTGTACCTTCGCTGCGGGTCGCATGTACTTCTTTCTTGGCTTTGGAACAGGAACAGTCCTAGTCATGTCAGTGGCGATCTCTAGTGAACCCACTGGCAGCAACAAGTTTTGATGAAGTGTCCTTAGCTTGTCCATCACCATCTTCCTTTTGTACACAGTACACTGGGATTTCTGGGTTGGTCCCTCACAACATAGATGCTTTCTTCACACTTGTCTGCCAGTTTGTGCATTTCATCAAATGCAAGCTGCTTCACTAAAACTCTGTCTCCAATGTTGAGAATAGCTCCTCTGACCTTGAAGTCATACCTACTCTTCTGTCTCTCCCGGGCTCTTTGTGCAGCAGCTGTTACAAACTTGTAGGAGTCAGCAAGCCGTTGGCGCAGATCTTTGATGTAGGTGGTCTCAGATTGTCTACCTTGTGGAGAACCTATTCCAAATGCAATGTCAATAGGTAACCGTGGCTGTCTGCCAAACATAAGGAAAATAGGGCTTTCTCCGGTCAATTCATGTCGTGTTGCATTGTAAGCATGAACAAGTGGTGCTACGTATGACTTCCAGTTGGTCATCTGGGATGGTTGCAAAGAACCTGACATACTTATCAGGGTCTGATTGAATCTTTCTGTCATTCCATTTCCTTGTGGGTGATAAGGTGTGGTCCTGCTTTTTTCTATTCCGGCCAGCTTACATAGTTCCTTAATTAGCTTACTCTCAAAGTTGGCACCTTGATCTGCATGTAGTCTTTCTGGAAAGCCATAGTGTACAAAGAAGTTGTTGAATAGGACTTCTGCAGTGGTTTTCGAAATCATGTTCCTAGTAGGGTAGGCCTGAGCATATCTTGTAAAATGGTCAGTCAGAACAAGAATATGTTGATATCCTCCCTTTGACATCTCCAGAGTAAGGAAGTCGATGCAAACTAACTCTAGGGGCTGGATGGTAGTGATGGAGAGAAGAGGAGCTCTGCCTTCTGCTGGTGTTCTTCTGAAGCATCTGTCACAGTTTTTTATCCACTGATCCACATCTTTAGCCATTCCAGGCCAGTAAAATCTATCCCTTCAGAGAAACAGAGTCTGATCTCGGCCGAGATGTCCAATCTCATCATGAAGTCTGTTTAATGCTCTTTTGATGAATTCTGCTGGGAGAATTAGTTGCTTCCTTTCTTCTCCATCCATGATAGTAGTTCTGTACAACACTCCCTGTTGTAGTTGGAGATGACTGAATTCTCTGATAAGACCTGTAGGAATATCCTCTGGTATCTTGTGGTGATGTAGTCCATCAATGACTGTTAAATACTTGATCCCTGTCTTGTGCTTTCCTCCAATCCCTTAGAGTGAAGCTAGCTTTGTTGTTCCTGTGTTCAACATCGTCATCTGCAATAACTTCAGCTGCAAAGCGTAAACTCTCAATGTAGTTAGATGTCTGACACCTATTGCAGATCGCGATGTTGAACACAGGAACAACACAGCTAGCTTCACTCTGTTACATTGGCGTCCAACGTGGGGCTGAGCAAGTTCATATTACATTTGAGCAAAATATGTCTCAGTACCCTACCATGTGGCCCGGGACGTGCCTTCTGTTGACGGGGGAGTATATAGCAGGGTGTGAAGTCATCCCACAGATGACATTCTTACCTTGTCAGCTTGCTGACGGGGTTAACCTCTTTGGTTATGTGGACAAGGCTTCCGGCCTCTGATCAGAAGTTCCGTGGTTCTAATCCCATCACGGGACTCGGAAATTTTATGGCCACTACACACAGACCCGTGAAGATCTGGATAGAATAGGTCTTCAACATCCCATGCTTGCCATAAAAGGAGACTATGCTTGTCGTAAGAGGTGACTAACGGGATCGGGTGGTCAGGCTCGCTGACTTGGTTGATGCATGCCATCGTATCACAATTGCGTTGATAGATGCTCATGATGTCAATCACTGGATTGTCTGGCCCAGACCCGATTATTTACAGACCACCATCATATAGCTGGAATATTGCTGAGAGTGACGTTAAACAACCAACAAACAAACAATGTTAATCTGAATATTGGTCAAAACAGTTCAATGTTTACCTGAATATTGGTCAAAACAGTTCAATGTTTACCTGAATATTGGTCAAAACAGCGGCGTTAAACAAAAACAAACAACATTACAGCAGGAATTGAATTGTTTTAGGAACCACTAGGTACCCAAAATGTAGAGAAAAGCAACAACACAAGAATAGACACAAGTTTTGTGTTTTCTTCTCTCAGAATTCAGTAGACTGTTAACTTTGAAGTATATTACCAGATGTCAGCGCCCACCAGGCCCTCTAGTAAATTCTGACTGGTGTAAAGAGGCTTTGTATTTGTAAGGGAGGGCACAGGTGGCCCAATCGTCTAAGGAGCGGCAACTCACTGTTAAGGGTTGCGTCCCTTGGACACGCCAGAAACCTATGATCGTGGGTTCGAATCCTGGTTAGCCCTGATTATGTTTCTAGGTTTGTCAGCGCCATACCCATGCAACCAAAGTGATAAATGTCTGACACCTGCATCACTTCGGTCTTTCCTCCCACATCGAGCCTGGCATGCTGTGATATAACTAGAATACTGTTCAAAGCAGCATTTAACCCAACTCACTCACTCACTTGTATTTGTAAGAATTATGAAACAATGTTATCATTGTTAATAATTCAAAGAATACTACCTGTCATATCAGGAGAAATCCCACCCACCTCTCCAGTTGGATGTTAGAAATAAGTGAGGTTTAGGTAGCAAAATACTATTACTTGCCCCACTTATTATGGATAGTTGACAGTCAAGAGGGCTTCTCTTTAAAATCTGAAGATTGTATTGTGTGATGACAGCTGAAATACAGGACTTTCTGATTTGTTTGGTTACTGTTTAAAATGTAATGAAATTTAGTATATATGTGTAGTTAGTAATGGGGTGCAACACATGTTACATCTTTTGTGATATTAAAAATTGTGAACCTGATTTGACATTTGGACCATGCTCTTGAATTCTCTCAAAATTTTAACTTGCCATCAAACCTGAAATCTGTTCATGGAAATGATATGGTAATGGTTCTGTAAAGCATGTGTAACATTAAGTTACTCAATGCTCATGCAGATTAATATTTTGATTACAGCCGTAGCAATTAGTGAATGGGAAAGCCTTGCTTATGTTCACTGTTGTTATGTTGCAGCAGCTGAGACGCACACACCTACTGGAATTGAGAGGAAGTTTGGACGACAAAATGTAGCCATACAGGTACCTAGAGTATATATGACATTCAGCTTTGTGCATTTTGAGAACATGTCAACGGTGTCTCTGTTGAGTTCTCAGGGAGGAACAACATACGCAGGAGTAGGGAGACAAGCCTGCCACTTGACCAGCCATTTATTTAAGACTGTTGCATGTTACATAACAGCACGTGATTATGCTTACCTGCAACTAATCACATTACGCAAAGGGATATCTGCTGGCCGATTACAATGTCACACACTAGTTTACAACTACTGTATATCAATTACAGATATTACAGTCTCAAATGCAGTAACTTCTTAATTTAAACCTCTAGTTTTGGATCTCAACTGGCTGTATATGTATTTCCAGCCCCTGTTCTACGAAATATCACCATCCTCTCAGCTGCAGGAGTTTGTAAAATCCTGCATATTTTCACGCTTCCCCACTTAGTTCTGCAACAGGTTTTTGCATTCTGATGGGAGCAAATGTATTATTTTCTTTCTTTTTTTTAAATCCTAGGAATAATTCCCCCTCCCCCCCTTTAAACTGTTATTGTCGGCCGCTAAGTCTGTTAAGTGATGAATCAGATTTACTTATTCAAATGTTTGACACAATAATTCTTATGGAAAAGAAATTAGAAGTTTATTGGAAAATATTTGTTTCAGGGAAGTCTTGGTTTGGTGTTAAATGATAAATGCCATGAACACAAACACTGACATTCATGATGTACCTTGTTTTGGTGTCCTATATGTATCATGTAAATGTTATAGATCATTTACTGTCCTCCCTGACTGTAATGCCACCCTGGTCATACTGCAACATTTTTCTCTGAACGGATCTGAAGTTCCAATTACCTGGTTATCATTCCATTTTCTTCATTAATTATTAACACAAAATTTGCAATGTAGAGGAGATGATTCCCTCTTCTAATTCAATAAACTCATTAACTCTTGTTGTTAACTCAGTTTGTCATATAAATATTATTCTCAAAGGATCAAACTGGTTTGACTTTTTCGTCATGTGCAAAAATGACTTCCATTTGGAACGTGGCCACTTTTCAGAGACAAAATGGGCAGATAACCAAGCAGAAATTGGATCTTTTCTACTTCAATTACATTGTAATACCTGACCCATCTATGTCATTGTAAATGAATTGATATCATAAGATTGTTTTCACCAGCAATATTTGTAATTATAACTTATTAAAATTTGTAAGAGAGATTTGTGATACTGTTACTGTATTATGAATCAAATAACGTATCAATGTTCAAATTGGAGGTGGAGTAGCCAAGTGGTCAAAGTGTTTGCTCGTTGCTCCAAAGATACCCCACAAGGATTTCTGGTGTCCTCCGCTGTGATAATGCTTGAATATTGCTGAAAGTGGCCTAATACCATTACTCACTCACTCTAGGGACAGTAGGTTGTATATTCCCGTGGGAGTTGATAATGATAAATGGAATGCATAGGGACCGCTGGTCCAGAAACAAATATAAACAGCATTTTGGGCAGAGATGTTTGGATAAGTGTGGAATGTAAATGTATAACATAATTAATATTATTTATGCTATTATATCATTTGAGAATAAAATATACATAATCTCTGTAACAGCTCCATCTTCCACAAGACTGCTGATCATGCTTATTTACCTCTAGAAACTACTATTAGATAGATTTAGTTGTCAATAATTTGTATTACTCCTAACAATGCAACAATAATACATGAATCACCACCAGCTTATGTCAATGTATGAACTTGAAATTGTGCATGTAGTTTTAATCTAACTTATAATTCAAAGTGTACAATTTCAATGTCAAACTCACACAACAGCACATGAGACTGTAAACATAGGGAACATTCTGTACAATCCAAAATCACTTAATAGGGTAATAGGGCATATACTCTTAGACATTCTGGCATATGTCTATTAGTGACAGCTCTTTCTGGCCAACATGGAAGCATACCTAACATCACATACAGATAACAGGCCCATGTAATTACTATTCTAGATTCAATTGGTGGCCACATCTTCTGTGCTTATGATTTCTTCTTCGAAGCTGAAAAAAACAATCTTCAGTGAAATGCAAATCGAATTTGTTTTCAAGGAAGTTTGTTTAACATTTCCAGGTACTATAAACCAATATTACATTAGAAGTTTAGAAACTACATAAATGATAAAATGCAATCGATTAAAACTATTCCAGCATGTCCAATATGACATTCATACAACTAATTTATAGACATTATCAAACATGTTCTGTAAATAAACCTGACTAAATGTTTCTCATGAAGTGGATGTTCACTTGACTTTTTTCCATGGTTAGCCTATGTATGCCAGTCAAGGTACTCTGATAATCATCTGGTCTGAAGTGTTTGCCATAAGCATGTGTTGCATTAGTGATCTGTAACAAAGCAAAATGGTAAATTGAATATGATTTTGTTTATACATTGCTCGACTGGAGACAGAGTACACATGCAATTACCAAGACTTAGTATGACAACATTGTTTTAAAAATGTAGAAGTTACATGTTATGTAGGGACAGTTACAATGGGGATGTTGAAGACTTTTCTAATCGTGACATTTTTGCTATTGATAGTTTTTATATAATAAAAATGACAAGGGGAAAATTTGGAATCTATTTGTGAACAAAATAAAGCCATTGTCTGAAAAACGAACAATACGTCAGATATGACTAAATAATTGGTGACAAACGGTTTAATGTGTAAATAAAGATTATCACAATTTAATTCGCTTCTGAATCATTGAAGCAAGATATTATTTGCACCAGATATCACTACAATCATTATGTGAGCAGCGTAACGGGTGTTGAGACAGTTGAGGACAGGTTTTGTTTTCCACCTGTTTACATGTGATTTCATGACCAATATCTGTGCTAAGATACCTTGACAAATGGTCTCTCATCACTACGGCTGTTGACAATCCACTTTTTCCGAAGTTCTTCATTTCTTTAATGTTGTGGAAGGACAGCGTTTTGTCTTTACGGCTATTACTCCTGCAGCCTGGTATACAGCAGTGTTGCACCATTCTTGCAAGTGTAAACTGAGAAAAGCCTATTATTTTAGACTGATCGATCTGTCTATAGGTAATAGACGTACATGAAGTCATCACAGGCAAGAAGTCGTGACGGCATCTCAAGCATGATGCCATATAACAATTGAAGTGATTGTCCGTTCATGGGTAATACATCATTGCAATGAATGAAAATCTGCCACGGATGTGAGAATGAGCCACAGATCAGAGTACCTCCATACATCCTAGTCCTACATATATTATATATACTGAACAGCAAAAGTTCCTGTGACATTGAATAAGATTTAATGCAAAGTTAAGTTTTTTACCAAATCAGAAACAATTTTGGTTTGCAACAGATAAAAGACTCCTGTAAGTGTTCAAATGGTTTAATTTGCCATACTGAATTCAGAAAATGCATGATTTCATAAAAAACATAAACATACCAAAATGTCAATTTACAAATCAATAGCGTGTGTGTCCACCTCTGGTTGCAATGCAAGCAACACATCTTCGTCTTATGGAATGAACCAGGCGTCGCACAAAGTCCTGTGGGATATCTGTCCATATCTGCTGGAGCATGTTTCGAATTTCTGGGAGTGTCTGTGGAACACGTGGTTGACGTCGAAGGCGCCCATCCATCTCATCCCACATGTGCTCGATTGGTGAGAGATCAGGGGAGCGAGCCAGCCAGGGGATGACATTCACATTGTTTTGTTGAAGAGAATCCTGAAGTCGAGCAATATGAGGTCGGGCGTTGTCATGTTGAGAGGTAATGCCTGGGCCATGACGACGCAAAAACGGTAGAACAACAGGGCCGGTGATCTTGTCGCGGAAGCGCTGTCCATTGAGATTTCCCTCTACCACTATCAAACAGGTCCTCTGTCTTGCTGTAATACCACCCCATACCATAATGCTGCCGCCCCCAAACCAATGTTCTTCCATGACACAATGATTGACGTAACATTCACCTCGACGTCGGTACACTCGAATCCGTCCATTGCTTTGGCTGAGGTGAAAACGAGACTCGTCAGTGAATAGAACTTGTCCCCACTGCATGGCCGTCCAGCGTAGATGCTGTCTGCACCACTGTAGACGTGCTTGACGGTGGTTTCCTGTCAAAATGGGACGTCTGGCAGGTCTTCTGGCGACAATCCCTGCACATTTGAGGCGGCGACGTACGGTTTGTGAAGATATTCGTCGAAGGCCAGGGATGCTTCTTGCAGTCACTGTTGCTGGCTGGAATTGATTTCGTAGGTGTGTTGTTTGAATCCACTTGTCTTGTCGATTATTGGTTACGAGTGGCCTGCCACTCCGAGTATGGTCTCTGACTGCATTCGTCTGTTGCCAATGTTGCCATAAACACCAAATGGTGTTTCTGTGGACGTTAAATTGTCTTGCAGCATCACGTTGACTCGATCCTGCTACAAGCATACCAATGGCTCGCAGACGCTCTTTTTCGGACAGGCGTGGCATTTCGTAATGTTGAATAATTGCGTAATTTTGTTGTTTTTCTGAGTGGTTGTTGTCAGCATGATGCTATACAATGCATATGGAATCCCGTTAACGCACATGTTTTTATACCCATTCTTGGTTAGTGAAATGCATGCGGCTTGCATAAAAGTCAACTTTTGCATGGTATGCATGCTTTTCTGTAGCAGTTGCGTTTTTGTGACTTGATTCCATACATGTACTACAATATTGATAACCAGTCTTTCCTTGTTTGAAAAATACACTAAAATATTGGTGTCACAGGAACTTTTGTTGTTGAGTACGTATACAAGCTAAATTGTTTGGTATTAAGGTTAAGGAAAGTCAGACACCCATGTCTTTTTACCTGACCTGAGGCAACCATCGGCCAGGTGGTAGATTCAAACAGAACAGAAAAATATTCATAAATACACATCTCTAAGTTGATTGTGATAGTACATGTTGCATACTCTCATCCCATTGTTCATACAGCCCATTCCTGTACAGGAGGGTGCTTACTCTAGCCCTGAAAGGAGTTCTGGTATATTTCAATGAAATTTACTTGATCTTTCAGGCTATCATTCAGAAGAAGGGAGATCATGAAGAGAGTGAATCCAGGCTTCTGACCAAACAGGTAATAAGTTTCCTTTTAACATAAACTCATCAATTCATCAATGGCCCACTGTGACATTTGTAGTGAACTTTTAGCCTGCTGAATTTCTAACATACTTCTCAGCCGGCATGCCAGATTTATTTCATCATGGGGCATAGTAAACAGAGTGGTGGATTTCAAACGTAAGAGGCTAAAATTATTTTATCAAGGAACAGGTTAATCATTTTGATTTACACATCATTATCTAAAAATGCCTGGCATTTTCATTCATTTGGAGGATAAGACAAAACTAACATAAAATTGTGAATTATCTTGACTTTACCTGAATTTCTTGATATATGTCCCATGTCCGATATTTTCATTTAAAAAACAATAGTGAATTGGCGAATTATAAACCATTCATGGAAAATATAATGAGTGTGTGAGTTGGGTTTAATGCCGCTTTTAACAGTATTACCGTTATATTGCTGTGTGTCAGCTTAATGTGGGAGGAAAGCCCAAAGTGATGCAGGTCTCAGACATTTACCACTTTGGTGAAACCCATGAGCACAGGTATGGTGCTGACAAACCTTGAAACATAATCGAGGCGATTTAGGATTCGAACCCACAATCATAGGTTTCTGGCGTGCCTTAGGGACGCAACTCTGCACAGCGAATCGCGGCGCCTTAGATAACTGGGCCACCATTGTCCCCGAAAATATTATGAAGAAACATTAGCCAGGATACAATAGATAATCACCAACCCCAACTTCAAGTGGTTTGGTTGAATAAACAGCAGATTACTCATGTGTCATAATACTAGCAGATTTACTTTTATAAAACATGGTGCACTTCACTTAAGTCCAAAATAACAAATTGCAATTTTAGTATTATTAAAATAACAATCAGAGTCCCTTGGCAAAAATATATGAGCCTCAGATTTGCCATTTTCAGTTAATGTACTTTGTAACTCCGATATGTTTTTAGCATATTACACCAGCTTCAATTTAATATCAAGTTTATGCCCTGAGTGATTTAATTTCTGATTTGCCCGATTTTAGTTTCCAAGGGCAAATTGAATTTTTTTTATGATGGACATGAACTTGATATCAAATTGAAGTGGGTGTAATATTCTATTTGTTACCATATGTGTAGTTTGAAGAGGAATCAACAAAACCAAAAGCTTCAGTACCCTCTCTTTATAGTACTGCAAAAAAGGGATCCAGAACGTGATAGTGGATAGCCTTATCCCTTCCAGATCAACCGGCCCCGACGAAGTGGCAACTGCATCCAGAGATCTTTCAATGGATTTGCCATCTTTATCGAATTCTAAACACACTGGACACCAAACACCTTCAGCTGATTTTGGTTGCACCCTTTTGACTAGTGAGAAGTTGGTTCATCGTCCTCGTAAATGTCACAGATCGAAGGCACAATTGACTACCCCTGCACCTAGACTGACTACTCCAGCCACACTCCAGCCAGCTAAATTATCACTGGACACGCTTCATCTTTGCATCTTGCCCATCTCTAGAAATCTCTCAAAGCTAAGACATATTCCCGGAGAGTGGCTCGGACAATCACTGTTGCACATCTCAAAGGCTCTGTACAATCATAGATGGAAGGCTTTCAAGGGTTATTGCACAACTCAGGACATTATATCACCGACCACTGATCGCCTAAAAATTAACAGAGTACAGTCATCCCCGGGGTCCATGCATGGACAACCCCCAGCGTTATCAGATACCCGCGTTATTCCAATTATGGAATGTAGGTCAAGTGATACTTGTACTATATTTTTATGCACACTTGAGTATGTATGTGCATAAATATGCTTGGTTACGACAGAAAAATTGATGGTGTTTGTGAGAAAAAGATCAATCTTTTGTACAAGTTTAGATATCCCGTTATTGTTAACTACTTTGACTGCTGGGACCATTTGAATGCAAATATGGTAAGATATACATGAATAAGATAATGTTTACTTGGATCAGCGCTAAGTTACAAACTGCTGACCACATGGACGTTCAGCCATTTTCTGAACAAAGCGACTATGCACGGTTTTCTCGACAAATATGCCCGTCTTATCAAACAATGGAGCGAGTTGCTAAGGCAAATTCACTCTTAAGCTATTTGTTTATAAAAAGGAAGGCAATGATTGGTTGATCGCATTTAAATCCGGAGAATGTCAACTTTACCATAGGAATGTATAGAAACACGACGGAAGTGATACAACACACAGGATTTATTAGATAAAATAAAAGTATATGACAACAGATACAAATATCTATCACAGTATATATAGTTACATTTCATGGCTTTATGAATCAGACAATAACTATTTGTAGACAAATATACATGTACAACAGTTGATCGAATTACATTTCCCACCTTATGAGATTTTACGGGTACTTCATCAGCAAAGCGTCTCACACCGCACATTAAGCATCTTTAAAGAGTAACATAGTTTGTTCTGTGTTTTTGAATTCCATGCTTGTCTCTTCAAAGTCTCAGCAAATGTGCCAGGACTTCAGACACTGGGGTAGCATGAACACAGTCTTTTATTGTTTCATGATCTGTGGTTAGTCTGCTCATGGCATTGACAATTAACTGACCATCACTTTGCATTCTGAATACAGCAGGTCGGGGTCAATAGTGTTGTACAGCAGCACAGTTTCGGGGGTGGTGACGAGGGTGTTGTATATTGCATATTCGGGCGTGTAATCTTCATACTGCTTAAGGGTGTCAGTCACATCTTCCGGTTGAAAGCTGAAATCATCATTATTTTTATCCGAGACGGCAAAAGCTTACCAAAGGCCCTTATTCCAACAGTTCTCAATTGTTCTAGGGTTAACACTTTGCCATGCCATAAGGGATGTTGTGATGACATCTCTAATGGTCACAGTCTTTAAAAAGTCCAAAGGAGACAGTCCTGACTCAACAGCAGAATGAACAAGCCATCTTCTGTAGTGGCTTGAAAGCCTGACTTATCCCTTGGTCCATTGGTTGCAGGAGAGACGAAGATGATCTCTAACAGCCGGGGCAAACTTATGAAAAAACCAGTCCTGAAAGATTGCAGCGGTCATCCAGGCAATGATGATCGGTTCAGGTGATGGAAACATCGTGGGTTCTGTGCCGTGCCAATGATCAGGGGCTTGGGTTTGTGATTCCCTGTCTTGTGACTTGTCAGGAGCACAGTTATTTGTTGTTCGCCTTCTTGAAGCCAGCTGTGTGTTTGTCTTCAGGCATGGCCAAAGTTCTATCAGGCAGCATCTTGTAATAAAGGCCAGTCTTGTCGCAGTTGTACACTTGCTCCAAGTCCTGGCCTTCTGATTGTTCTGATTGTTGAAAGCGCCTCAGCCATCCACTGCTGGCCTTGAATGGATCGTCTGGTCCGTGAATATCACTGGACATCTTCTTGGCTTGAATCTTCATTATTTCGCCAGAGATGGGTGTCATATTGGGATTGCGTAAACCACGCAAACAGTGCCTTGGCGAGTGTCTGATCGTATGCCGTCTTTGCCTCCTTCATGCCAAGGCCTCCGATGTCTTCTGTCTCCAACACAAATCTCTTCAGTCTTTCCTCCTCCTTCAACGACTATGTAATTCTTAACTTATTGATGTGATTCCGATTTTTCCTGGTTATTGTCCGGAAGTTGCTCAGGATTAAGCCTCAACACACACATCTGCCATGTAGTTATTCCAATGAACAACACACGGCACGCTTGATGTTCAAAACTTTTCATGAAAGTACACAGCTCTGATCTCATTAATTACTCACTGTTGCAACATATGAGAGGGTAACAATTTACTAACAAGGTAAATATTTTTTTAACAATTGAAGTTAAATTAATGAAGTTGGAAGTCGGATCCGAATTAGGCCTAGATATGGAGAACATAAATCGTGTGTTTTTAACAAATAAAACAAACTAGGTGTTCATAGTTGATTGGACATTTATTTTATTAGGTCATCTCTGAATTCCCACCAAATACATGTAATCAAATGGGAAACAGCTTGAAATTTATGGTAGCCAGTGATTACGCCGCGGCTTAACTGAATCCGTGGTATCATGAAGGGTGTTATTGCGAGGAACGACTGTACCTCCATTCCGATACAAGGAAGAGTTTTGATCGAGATATTTATTTGGCTTTCTCTTAATTCAGTGATTCCTAGATCACTCCTTTTGCCCTGTCAGAGCCATAAGGATCTTCTGAAAGGGTTCTAAAAACCAACATCAGTCACACCACTTGAGTGTCCGGGACAATGGTGTCCTTCTGGTTGCGATCTGTGATTTTATGAGCTTACACCTCTGCAGGTTTACCACCTTCCAATCCACATGAAACAAGGGCAGTAGCTTCTATCATGGCGTTTCAAAGCAACTGCACATTACAATGGAAGGTTGCTTTTAGAAATCAGACACAGTGTTTGCCTCATACTGTTCAGTGACTCCGTCAGTTTGGTCCACTTGTGTTGGCCCAGCAACTGACAGCAGCCTGTGAGGGCAGATGAAAATACTTGTACCAGCCTTTTCTGGAATTGTGGGTCATTTTAAATACAGCAATGAATAATTGAATCTATTTCACTTATTTATTATTGTTTCAGTCGGATTCCCAGATGAGTTCCCATTAGGTGCAACCATTTGTATTAAATGTTGCCCAGATCTACTACCTGTTAACTTCTGTCTTATACAGGTTATGTCTCAGTTGCCAAAGACCTGTATTGGTATGGTCGATCGTTTCCTCATCTCCTTCTCAATTGCTGCGGTTGTGATTGATAGCTTTGAAAAAGTGTCAAAAGGGATGCCTAGCTGGCTCACCTAACTTCCTCTGGATCATAGTGTGTGTGGCCTGCCTTGTAGAATTTGCCGGCTAGAGAAAGGTGATCCACCCCCTCTAATAAATGGGATATGTTAAAGTCCAAAGCTATCTGGTCGCTCAATAGATAGACATCCTGAGTGAAACCACAGAATACATGAGATGGCAGCTCTCATGATCACATTCTGTCCGAGTAGCGCAAAGGGGTTTTATGAAGCAACACATACACAAGTCTGTCTATTATGCTAAGAAGCCTTGTAACAGTTAGGGGATTGGACCATGGCTTTGAACCAGCTTCCTTGTGTAACGTCTCATGGTTGTGGTCTGTTTAGAGGCTCGGGTATCTGTGCGCCACCTTCCAACAATGTAAGATCAGATAAGTTTAAGAGTTTGCAATATATTCTATATATATATACTTATCTTATCTCACACGCTGTCCACCCACCCAACCATCCCCACATCACAGTTACACCAGCCTGTAAGGTCAAGAAAGAAAATGAGTATGCTGCAAACATCATGAGACCAAATCGCAAGAGCTTCAGGTAGTGTTTGACCCATTGTTTATGGTGACGACTGGGATGTGTAGGGGTGGGATGTTTTTTCAGGATTGGGTTTTACTCACTGCTATTAGATATGTTGGCAGTTAAGAGGACATCTGTTGAAAATATTAATCATACTGATTTTGCAAGACTTCTCATTTGGGAAATTATTATGGTTCTATTCGGATGAACAAAACCTTCCAAATGGTGTGCTGGTTTTCTTGGGGGTATTAGTCAGCAAATAGATGGAGTCACAGGAGACTAATCACAATTTTATTTACAAGAACAATTAACGATGAACAATTTACAATATCTTAAAATATAGCAGAGGGTGCCACAGAGAGTCGGTACAACCCTCCCGGCTGTGGGAGAGAGATCTGCTTGGTATGAGCATCAAACCCCTTCTGCTTAGCATTTTGCTTCTGTATGTATTTAACAAAACTTAGAACAATAAAAAGGAATATGATTGGTTGATATATGATGGGGTGTGCCTTATGGTTAATGAATGGCTAGACAGAGGTGAATACTTAATCCTGTTAATCCTGTTGGACTGGCACTAATCTTGTTAACATATTAACTGGGTGCTTGGAAAGAGATTATGGTACATTGTATCACTATAAGCTTGTATGGGGGCTAATCTTTGTGAGTCTAAATTGAAGTAATTGCTGAATGTTATTCTAATATGGGTGATGACAGATTTACTTAAATAAAATAGTTCAAGGCAATCTATAAGACTATGTAGACATATCTTTTGTCTTATTGGATATTATGTCTGGGAGATGGGATCTTGACACCTTAGGCTAGCATTTATCTAAAAGCTTTGAATCTATTAAACTATGTAGACATAACTTTTGTCTTATTGAATAGTATGTCCAGGAGATGTGTTCTCGTTGCCTTAGACTAGCATCCATCCAAAAAGCTATGACTGAAAGTTCCTTATATGGGTCATTCTAAAAAAAAGTGAGATTTTTAGTCCGAGTTGAATAATAATTAAAATATTTATTTTAGATATGTTTAAACACAAGTGTTTTTCGTAGAACATACCATGTTGTCTGAAAGTTAAGTTTCAGTAATTCTTATTATGTATTTTATTTTAATTAAAACTGCTTAATTGCGGTTAAGTTGAGCTGAAGGGTGTGTCCGTAACCCTAAGTTTGCACATCAACATTGTTTAATGTTGCTAAACAGACATTTGGTCATCTTTATCTAACTTTTCTTATCCAATCAATAAATATTCTAATTTTATGAAATATTGAGAGATATGTTTTCAAATTTATCACAGTTTAGAAGAAAACATATATACATAAAAAAATAGACTACTTTGTTGAAGATAGTTATCTGATGAAAAAACAACAAAAGGATGAGGCTGATAAAAAAGTGTGGAGAGGACAGGTGGTGTGGTGGAGAAGGGTGAGGTTGAGAAAAGTGTGGAGAAGACAGGTGGTGTGGTGGAGAAGGGTGAGGTTAAGAAAAGTGTGGAGAAGACAGGTGGTGTGGTGGAGAAGGGGGAGGTTGAGAAAAGTGTGGAGAAGACAGGTGGTGTGGTGGAGAAGGGTGAGGTTGAGAAAAGTGTGGAGAAGACAGGTGGTGTGGTGGAGAAGGGTGAGGTTGAGAAAAGTGTGGAGAAGACAGGTTGTGTGGTGGAGAAGGGTGAGGTTGAGAAAAGTGTGGAGAAGACAGGTGGTGTGGTGGAGAAGGGTGAGGTTAAGAAAAGTGTGGAGAAGACAGGTGGTGTGGTGGAGAAGGGTGAGGTTGAGAAAAGTGTGGAGAAGACAGGTGGTGTGGTGAAGAAGGGTGAGGTTGAGAAAAGTGTGGAGAAGACAGGTGGTGTGGTGGAGAAGGGTGAGGTTGAGAAAAGTGTGGAGAAGACAGGTGGTGTGGTGGAGAAGGGTGAGGTTGAGAAAAGTGTGGAGAAGACAGGTGGTGTGGTGGAGAAGGGTGAGGTTGAGAAAAGTGTGGAGAAGACAGGTGGTGTGGTGGAGAAGGGTGAGGTTGAGAAAAGTGTGGAGAAGACAGGTGTTGTGGTGGAGAAGGGTGAGGTTGAGAAAAGTGTGGAGAAGACAGGTGGTGTGGTGGAGAGGGGTGAGGTTGAGAAAAGTGAGAGTGACATTTTACTATCCGTTCCAGATGATACAGAAGAGTGTCTTGGAAAATGTGTTGTTGTGTTATATGATGGTTTTCCATATCCTGGATACATAGATGTTTCTACCTATGATATATATGTGGAATGCATGCACAAGCCTGGTAAAAAATGGGATAAAAAATGATTCTTCTGGCCAAGACTCCTGCTGGACAAATGCTGATACAAGCACGAGGACATTATTACCATCATTCCTGAACGAAAGAAGATTGAAGGCACTGCTTCCCACTTCAGTGTTGAAATATTTTACTGGGAAGCTATTACAGATAAGATAAAACAAGAAACAATAAACAACCTGTGGTTTCTGGGTGAATGAAAGGCATCATTTAATTCTGGCACTAATCAAATAATCATAGATACAAGTGAATTGTACTTTTAAGGAAATTATAATTCACCCATTCAGACCGTTTATTTCAGTATTTGCGAATACAATTGCAAAAGAATTCGGCTTCAACAGGAAATCTTCTGACAAGTTTTTTTCTCCAGATTATGTTGATTTTTGACATGGATAAAGTTGGTTATTATGTTGTTGCTTCATGACAAAAACTGTCATATGACTATTTAGTGTAAGTTTAAATCAATTTGAATTCTTTGTAATTCTAGGGATTAACCCAAAATGCAAAAGTTATTGTCTTTGGCTATACTTTCGTCTGTGCTGTTACCTACCAGTATCCTACATTCAGATTACATAGAAGAACATTCAGTTAATAACATCCATATGATCAGATACTATTAAATAAGCAAAACATTTTCTTATTTGTCAGAGTTCAAAACTTTGAACTTCTGAACAGGATAGTTGACTGCAAACATAAGTTTGTCCGTCCTGTTACTTTCAATTGTCCGTCCTGTTACAGACCGGTTTCTATAGTTCAGATTACATACAAGAATATTCAGTTAATTACACCTTATATGTTCAGGTGTAATCAATTGCACATACTTTTTTTGTATTTGTCAGATATTTCAAAACCTTGAAACTCCTGAACGTTTTAGTTATCTGCAATCAAAGCCGATTGTCCGTCCTGTTACTTTCAATTGTCTGTCCTGTTACTACGTTGTCTGTCCTGTTACCAGCACTTAAAATAGAAATATATTGATTTTTTTTTTTGATTTTTCAGAAGAACATATTTGAATTCAAACATATATCATATAATGAAGTATATGTGTCAAATAAATGATGCAATAATCAGGGTATGTTTGTCATATTGGATTTGAATGAATTCAAATGTTTTCATTTGACTCAAATGCTGGACAAATCTGTCCATAAAATAATGTATCCAATCTCTTTTTAATTGTACTCATTGAAATATTAAAGAATACATTTAAAAACAAGAACTGACATGATTTGTGTTGAACTTTGAAAAATATTGTTACAGAAAATATAATTGTTAACATGGTAACAGGACAGACATATTTTTCCTATTCAGTGTTAATTAATTATCATAATTAGGACATCATTGATTATTAAGGTGTCATTTTGCTTAACATTGTTATTCAGAAGTTACTTTGTGTACTGAGTCAATGAAAAAGGTATTTTACAAAAGACAATTTTGATGTTTTTGCTTTGTTGAAATTCTGACATTTTTTTAGAATGACCCATATCCTAACAGTACCCATAATTGGATTTTCCTCCAAAAAATATTTGTTTTGCTTAATACAGGTAAACAACGAATGGAAATATAACTGAAAATACAAGTGTCGTAATTAAATGAAATCAATAAACACACTCAGAAGTGCAGGGAATAGCAATTATGTGACAGTTTTGTATTATTACAACTTTTTTATTAGTTCAGGCCAAATCATCAAACAAACATTACTTCATGGGGTTAAATAAATAATATTTGCTTTAGTTTAATTTAATTAGGACACTTCGTTTGTGAGGTGTATTGCAATTCAAGTGATGCTTTTTACCAATTTGTTGTATCATATCCTGTTTGCTTACAGCTTCCATCTACTGAAAAGGATACCAAAGGCATCTCACAGACTTCATCTGGACAATCATCACCAAAGTATCTATTGGGCATCCCCACAAGTGAACCCCAATTTATGAAGCATGGTAGTGTGAAGACTGTTCCTAACCAACCATTATATCAGCGATACTCATCACCAACTGCACAGCAACAACCTTCCACTTTACCTGGGCCAGGTAAGTTTGTGCCTGTGCCCAGGGTCAGCCCTTCTCCACAAGTCCAGAGTAACTACACTGGCAGTGCAGCATCTACAACTAATGTGCAACTGTCCCACTTGCACGAACAATTTAACATCAAAGGCCACTCTCCACCACCAATGCAACAGCAGCCAGGTGCTACCAGTGTTTCACAAGGGCTGTCTCATCATACCCCGTCACCAAGACTGCCTTATCCAAAAATGGACATGTTCAGAATGCAATCTCCAAGACCTGGTCTGCCGCAGAATGTGACAGCTGCAGATGTTCCAGCTTTACCATTATCACCAGCAGCACAGCAGCAATTGCGAGCAGCTTTGGCACAAACACCTATTCCTGGGCAGCCTTTCCACAATATGTCGCCCAGTCAGTTACTCCAAGTCATGAAACTGGCTAATCAAATGATGACAACTGCAAAACAGACAAACTTGAACAGTCAGATTTCTCCACCAAGTCAACAAACTGCATTTTCTCAAGCCCCAGGTACAGAAAGAGTTCAAACATCCCCTAAGGCTCAGACACAACACTCTGGAACACCTAGGATGCCAAATTTTCCTACCTTTTCAGGAACACCTGGATACTCGAATGTCACTGGGGCTCCAATGAGACCGCCACCTACATATGGAACATCAAACATTGCCCCTCTCCATAAAGATCCTGGCCAGCATCCAATAAATGCCAGCATGTATGGAGGTTTCAACCCACGTACAATACAGGTATTTTTTAGATTTCCTTATCATCTCAGTAAATTGCATGTATAAGCTTATTACAAAAGACATATTATTATATGGCATGTCAGCATATATTCCATCTTTAAGTTAGTCAGCTCCCATGAGTTCACTGTACATCATCTTAATTGTCATAACACTTTGTCAGTTAAATTTATTTATGAGGGCAGTCCAAAGGTCAATGCTTAAACACAGATGACTTAGCAGTCCCGTTAATGGGAACTGCTTATTAGTTTTCTTGGAATTTGACAGCTTTCACAGATCAACGTCATTTTTGAGGTTATTGCGAAATAATCATCGCCAGTTAATTATGCACATCAGCTTTACAATCCTGATATTTGGATAAATGTTGGATTTCAAGTTGTCTCGATGAAGGTCAAGCTCTGGAAGTATTGTTTTGGACTGGAAGTACATGGTATGTTAAGATTTCATGAGCTTTAACGAAATGGCAGTTAAGGGGGGTGCTTCTGCTTTTTCAAGTACTTGTAAACACCTTTAGTTTTGAAAGATAATTATGGATTTGTATGAAATGGTAGTCAGAAGAAAGACTTTTTTTCAAAAGCCAGCCCAATCAGTCCCTATTAAAAAAGTCACTTTCATAGCTTATACTATATATGCAATTGGTCTCTCAGAATGAGAAAGATATTGATTGATTTGAACAAACTTGAATTAGTGGACATATCAAATGAAAAGATCCAGATCAAAAGCTTGTCCAGTTAGAGAATGAAGAGTTTAAGTGTTATGTGATAGCAAGAATAAAAACCCAGCAACCAGCAAACATCATGTCTGATTCATGTATGAATGTTTAATTTGTTTCACAGTAATCATATAACATGGTGTGTGAAACATTATGTTGCCTTTCAAAAACATAATATATTTTCTCTGTATTGCTTTCAAAACATGTCATCAATTGTTGCACTCACTGTGACTATTTGTGTTTCAGCCTCCTACTCCAGTCATGATGGAAACAAGACACACTTCAACATTTCAAGGTCATGCTGAAGTAAGAATGGATAATGTTAGAATTATGAACAAACATTGCAGGGCGCATGTATCTATCCATCTATCTATACTGAACAACAAAAGTTCCTGTGACATTGAATAAGATTCAATGCAAAGTTACGTTTTTTACCAAATCTAAAACAATTTTGGTTGGCAACAGATAAAAGACTCCTGTAAGTGTTCAAATGGTTTAATTTGCCATACTGACTTCAGAAAATGCGTGATTTCATAAAAAACATGAACATGCCAAAATGTCAATTTACAAATCAATAGCGTGTGTGTTCACCTCTGGTTGCGATGTAAGCAACACATCTTCGTCTCATGGAATAGACCAGGCGTCGCACAAAGTCCTATGGGATATCTGTCCATATCTGCTGAAGCATGTTTAGAAGTTCCTGGAGTGTCTGTGGAACACGTGGTTGACGTCGAAGGCGCCCATCCATCTCAATCCACATGTGCTCGATTGGTGAGAGATCAGGGGAGCGAGGGCGGGCGTTGTCATGTTGAAAGGTAATGCCTGGGCGATGACGACGCAAAAACGGTAGAACAACAGGGCCGATGATCTTGTCTTGGAAGCGCTGTCCATTGAGATTTCCCTCTACCACTATCAAACGGGCCCTCTGTCTTGCTGTAATCCCACCCCATACCATAACGCTGCCGCCCCCGAACCAATCTTCTTCCATGACACAATGATTGACATAACATTCACCTCGACGTCGGTACACTCAAACCCGTCCATTGCTTTGGCTGAGGTGAAAACGAGACTCATCAGTGAATAGAACTTGTCCCCACTGCATGGCCGTCCAGCGTAGACGCTGTCTGCACCACTGTAGACGTGCTTGACGGTGGTTTCCTGTCAAAATGGGACGTCTGGCAGGTCTTCTGGTGACAATCCCTGCACATCTGAGGCGGTGACGTACAGTTTGTGAAGATATTCGTCGAAGGTCAGGGATGCTTCTTGCAGTCACTGTTGCTGGCTGGAATCGATTTAGTAGGTGTGTTGTTCGAATCCACTTGTCTTGTCGATTATTGGTTACGCGTGGCCTGCCACTCCAAGGATGGTCTCTGACTGCATTTGTCTGTTGCCAATGTTGCCATAAACACCAAATGGTGTTTCTGTGGACGTTAAATTGTCTTGCAACATTACGTTGACTCGATCCTGTTTCAAGCATACCAATGGCTCTAAATTTCACAAACAACTCAACGCATCCTTCATCCATATAAATATCAACAATTAGGAAGCATTTAGTTTACAACTTAAAATATTCTTGTACCTGGTATATGTTTACATAAAACTAATAACCATCTTGTACATATGTTCTACATTTTCACACTTTCACAATTGGTTAGGATCACAGTCAGAAATAATGTGGATGTGTGCAAGATTGACACTGCTTCCATAATATACTCGTAGTTGACTAAACTAAGCTGACTGACAACTATTAATTAGATCAAATCTAAAATCATGATATCTCTGAATCGAAAGGTTATTAATATAATTGAAAAATTAACTTACAAACTAACAATTTCGAGAATACGTTCCAGCACATTTTTGGATATGTTAGCCCACTGACAAGATACAGGCATTAGGCCAGAGTATCAGGAGTATTAAAGACCGGACATTGAAGTTAGTTAGTAGGGCGTATTGTGGGAAATAGACTGTCCCTTGCCATCGCCGTCTGCTCTGGGCATGGTGTCAACAGAGATCCTCCAGGATACCATAGGTGCAGGAAAAGTGTGCCCACCGAAATCAAGATGTTCATACTGCACCAAACTCTCAAAAGGAGAGTTTAAAACACCGAGGAACTTGGACTGTCGTGAATGAAAACTAGATCGTCTGCTAAAAACTCAACTTCAAGTGCAGGGAGAGGAAGGCGTCGTTCTACGCTATCAGGACCTGGAAAGAACATCTTGCCAAATCCTCAGTTCTCATCGCCACAGACAATACCACTTGTGTGGCTTACATACAGAAACAGGAAGGAACCAAGTCCAGTTGTCTGTAACAGAAACAATGCATTTGTTTGCCTTGGCAGACTCCTTAAGCTGCCAGACGGAAGCAAGACATTTCCCCAGGAAATTGAACATTCTAGCGGACAGCCTTTCCTGAAAAGGGAGAATTGAAGCAACAGAATGGACTCTTCATCCAAAATTCTTTTACCTGGATCACCTCGATCTTGCATACTCCACACCTTGATCTATTTGTAGCTTGCCTGAACCATCAACTTCAGTTTATTTCAGCCTAGTGCCAGATCTGATAGTTCTCCAGATCAACACGCTATCACTGAATTGGACTGGAATTGGATTGGACGCTTATGCATTACCTTCATGGTCTCCTCTAGATAGGGGTGACTATTGGTCTGGAAATCACTATTGTGATAACTATTGATATTGAAAGAAACTATTGTGAAAATGTATTGATATTGCAAGCAACTATTGCGATAAATATCGATAGTTTTCAGTGTATCATTTTAGATGGATATTAGAGTTGATTTAAACCTTGGAACTGAAGTTTCCTTTGAATGTGATAACCATAACAACAAACAAAAAGTAAAGTTTGAGATATGACTGATTAGTTTTTTCTTTACCCTAATAATTTCAGAAAAAGAAACCTCCACATTACCATGTGTAAATTACTACCACTCACGATCAAAAGAAAAACAAATTTGAACAGCATTGCATGTATTTTATTGATATGGTAAATACAATCAAAACTATCGATATTCCTAACTTAAATCGATACTATTGATCGGAAACTGATTTAGCAATCGATTTATTGACTTTAAGTGCTTACCAATTGCAATATATCAATATTTCAATTTATTGTGACACCCCTACTCCTAGACAAGGTCATTTGGAAACTGGAAGTAACAGTCTGCATGATCATCCTGATTGCGCCAATCTGGCCAAGCAGGACAGGGTTTCCCAGGCTCTGATTTCTGTTGATTGAAGATCTTCTCAGAAGAGGTCAGACTTACTTTGCAACAATCTTCCCAGCCTTCATCCCAACTCGCCTGGTAATTTTCTTGCAGAAGATGCAGGCCTCTGGCATCTCTGAATCTTGCTCTTCGGCTGTTGCAAGATTGTGGAGACCTTCATCCGCCCCAGTGGATGTGGACTACAAAAACAATGCAGTCACGAAACCCTTTTAGACTTTTTGTTACATCTTTGACAGGATAACAAAGCTCCACCATGGTAGTATTGAAGGTTAAAGGTCTCTGTAACCTTGAGGGTCACTCAGCCTGGCATCATTGTGGATAATCAGTGCCTCTGTAAACTTGAGGGTCACCCAGCCTAGCATCATTGTGGATTATCAGTGCCCCGGAAACCTTGTGGGTCACTCAGGCTAGCATCATTGTGGATTATCAGTGCCCCTGTAACCTTGTGGGTCACTCAGGCTAGCATCATTGTGGATTATCAGTGCCCCTGTAACCTTGTGGGTCACTCAGGCTAGCATCATTGTGGATTATCAGTGCCCCTGTAACCTTGTGGGTCACTCAGCCTAGCATCATTGTGGATTATCAGTGCCCCTGTAACCTTGTGGGTCACTCAGGCTAGCATCATTGTGGATTATCAGTGCCCCTGTAACCTTGTGGGTCACTCAGGCTAGCATCATTGTGGATTATCAGTGCCCCTGTAACCTTGTGGGTCACTCAGGCTAGCATCATTGTGGATTATCAGTGCCCCTGTAACCTTGTGGGTCACTCAGGCTAGCATCATTGTGGATTATCAGTGCCCCTGTAACCTTGTGGGTCACTCAGGCTAGCATCATTGTGGATTATCAGTGCCCCTGTAACCTTGTGGGTCACTCAGGCTAGCATCATTGTGGATTATCAGTGCCCCTGTAACCTTGTGGGTCACTCAGGCTAGCATCATTGTGGATTTTCAGTGCCCCTGTAACCTTGTGGGTCACTCAGCCTAGCATCATTGTGGATTATCAGTGCCCCTGTAACCTTGTGGGTCACTCAGGCTAGCATCATTGTGGATTATCAGTGCCCCGGAAACCTTGTGGGTCACTCAGGCTAGCATCATTGTGGATTATCAGTGCCCCTGTAACCTTTTGGGTCACTCAGGCTAGCATCATTGTGGATTATCAGTGCCCCTGTAACCTTGTGGGTCACTCAGGCTAGCATCATTGTGGATTATCAGTGCCCCTGTAACCTTGTGGGTCACTCAGGCTAGCATCATTGTGGATTATCAGTGCCCCGGAAACCTTGTGGGTCACTCAGGCTAGCATCATTGTGGATTATCAGTGCCCCGGAAACCTTGTGGGTCACTCAGGCTAGCATCATTGTGGATTATCAGTGCCCCTGTAACCTTGTGGGTCACTCAGCCTAGCATCATTGTGGATTATCAGTGCCCCTGTAACCTTGTGGGTCACTCAGGCTAGCATCATTGTGGATTATCAGTGCCCCTGTAACCTTGTGGGTCACTCAGGCTAGCATCATTGTGGATTATCAGTGCCCCTGTAACCTTGTAGTTCATTCAGCCTAGCATCATTGTGGATTATCAGTGCCCCTGTAACCTTGTGGGTCACTCAGGCTAGCATCATTGTGGATTATCAGTGCCCCGGAAACCTTGTGGGTCACTCAGGCTAGCATCATTGTGGATTATCAGTGCCCCTGTAACCTTGTGGGTCACTCAGGCTAGCATCATTGTGGATTATCAGTGCCCCTGTAACCTTGTGGGTCACTCAGGCTAGCATCATTGTGGATTATCAGTGCCCCTGTAACCTTGTGGGTCACTCAGGCTAGCATCATTGTGGATTATCAGTGCCCCTGTAACCTTGTGGGTCACTCAGGCTAGCATCATTGTGGATTATCAGTGCCCCTGTAACCTTGTGGGTCACTCAGGCTAGCATCATTGTGGATTATCAGTGCCCCTGTAACCTTGTGGGTCACTCAGGCTAGCATCATTGTGGATTATCAGTGCCCCTGTAACCTTGTGGGTCACTCAGGCTAGCATCATTGTGGATTATCAGTGCCCCTGTAACCTTGTGGGTCACTCAGCCTAGCATCATTGTGGATTATCAGTGCCCCTGTAACCTTGTGGGTCACTCAGGCTAGCATCATTGTGGATTATCAGTGCCCCTGTAACCTTGTGGGTCACTCAGGCTAGCATCATTGTGGATTATCAGTGCCCCGGAAACCTTGTGGGTCACTCAGGCTAGCATCATTGTGGATTATCAGTGCCCCTGTAACCTTGTGGGTCACTCAGGCTAGCATCATTGTGGATTATCAGTGCCCCTGTAACCTTGTGGGTCACTCAGCCTAGCATCATTGTGGATTATCAGTGCCCCTGTAACCTTGTGGGTCACTCAGGCTAGCATCATTGTGGATTATCAGTGCCCCTGTAACCTTGTGGGTCACTCAGGCTAGCATCATTGTGGATTATCAGTGCCCCTGTAACCTTGTGGGTCACTCAGGCTAGCATCATTGTGGATTATCAGTGCCCCTGTAACCTTGTGGGTCACTCAGCCTAGCATCATTGTGGATTATCAGTGCCCCTGTAACCTTGTGGGTCACTCAGGCTAGCATGATGCATGTAACTAAAAGTGTGAGGTTGTATTGTAGCAGGCATATGTAAAGGAGAAACCACTTCTCCTGGAGATTACTTGAGATTGTTAACCCTTACTAAAGGGAACATATAGAGGGGAGAGTCGGTCCCCAAGGTATGTTCCTGAATATCAGGGTTTACAATCCCAAGTAATCACCAGGAGAAGTGGTTTGTCTAAATTATAAAGTGACTCATAACATAGACAATTTGGTGTGTGTGTGGTTTTACATTTTCAACCAAACCAAAGAGTGAGGTTTTATCCAACTTTTGAACCATCTAAATGCAAGAAATACCAGAAAAAGTAAGAGAACATCGAGATACCTTAGTGTGTCGCGGTATAAAAGGAATTTCGATCCAAGCGTACGAGGGAAAAAACATACTCAGCATGGTTCAACTGGATTCATGACATGTAAGATTGAACAGTTTTTCATTGTCCTGGCGGCTCAGTGGGAAAACAGTTACAAAACTAAACATGATATGTAAGGTTGCAGGTTTGATTCCCGTCATCCATAATGAAAACTTTCATTTCTTGTCTAGATTTCAGAACATTGGACGTTTGAAACACCAAGTACAAATTTATAAGTATAGAAGTATCAGTAACTCCTCATAGGAGGGTTTACAATGATTGTAACCAGACTGCAAGGGGATTACATTTAAACTAATATGCTGTCAGGGGAAATTCAACCATTTCAAGAAACCCTCAAGAGGTACCGCAAGCATGTAGGAGGTTTATAAAAAAATATTATCTGGGGCATTAAGGATAAAGAAGTAAAATGGTAGCTTCTGTTGTTGCAAATACTTGAAAATCACCTTTTTTTTGCTTTATCATGACAGCAGTGGTAAAGCTGTTTTTAACAGGATTGAAAATCTGGCCCATATACAAAGTATCATCATATGATATATGAATGATCAGTAAAATAAAATGACATGAAGCCTTTTTTCTTGTTTCAGGGTACACCAAAACCCGAGACGTTCAGTTCAGACAGAAGGTACGTAAGTCTAACAATCTTATTACACAAAGATAATGTTTCAGCTTCTCACAGTGCACTAATCACAACTTTGCAACTAGACCCAGATTGAAAATAGGTAACATTGTTGCCCTACATGTGTTTTTTTAAGTGCTGATTTGAGCTGCCATATTCTTTGTCATTTAGTTGAGAACTTGGCAGAATTCTCAAGGTAAACTTATCTTGAAAACCCAGAGATACGTTCATATGGATCAGGTGTCTGCTCAGCGATACAGCACACCTTTGGTGTGAACCAGTCTTGAGTTAGTGAATATGGTTTTATGCCGCTTTTAGCAATATTGCAGCAATATCATGGCAGGTAACACCAGAAAAGGGCTTCACACATTGTAAGCCCAACAAATTGGAGCAGGAGTAATCAGAGAAATGAAATTTTACACACTGATTTTACTGGTCATGATCTCAAATGTGTTCGAAATTTTGTGTCTTTATGCCCCTTGATTCAACTTAGTGCATACTGTGTGAAATGGGAACAAGTTTCCTCAGAAACTACTGACGTTATGTCAATGAAAGTTTGCATGCTTATAGAGATACTTGTCAAGACTGAGTTCGAAAATTGGTCCCGTGAATTTTTTTCAGAGTTATTGCCCTTGATCCATGTTATTTTACTTGGTGCATAGTGTCCGCAATTGGGACACGTTTTCTTAGAAACTACTCAAGTTAGCTTATCTAGGAGGTACTTTCCAGATAAGGGGCCTTTTGTGTGTAATATATTCACATTTAGTCATTTTTCTGATGACATTAAGCAGCCCAAATGCCTAACTATTTACTAAGTAGGCTTTATACATCATTCAAAGTATGTATTATATGCACAAATGCTCAGCTTTCTAAATATTAAAAAGTATTGGTCAAATTTCTGCAACGGCCATTGCTGACTTGAAGCATTGATTTTGCTTTTTATCTCTAGTTTACTGAAGAGAATAGGCTGTATCCCTGCTTTGTCTAGAGATAGCTTCACCAGTGTGTCTGCTTTTTCATTTCCATGAATATCTATGTGAGAGGGGGCGGTCGGGTAGCCTAGTGGTTAAAGCGTTCACTCGTCACTCCGAAGACCCGGGTTCAATTCAATGTGTGAAGCTCATTTCTGGTGTCCCCCGCTGTGATATTGCTGAAATATTGCTAAAAGCGGTGTAAAACCATACTCACTCACTCACTCACTATGTGAGAGGGGATCCAACACAGCTCCACCTGTTGCCCTTGGTCCGATAAATTTGTATATTCGTTTGGCTTGGAGTTTGAGTTTCTGCCGCTGATGGCTTGAAGTGCGCTTAGCGACTCTGATAGGACAACTGCCTTTGCTTCCGGAAGTTCCGGTATGAGTTTGAGTGCATGATGAATTGTCTCCAATTCAGCTGTGAATACTGACTGACCATCAGGCAGGCGAACAGAATGTGCTTGGGGTTTGGAGCTGTTGATATGGATCCTGTAACCAGCGCTGTTGTTGATAGGATTCTTGGATCCATCAGTGTATAAATGGGCCCAGCTGTCCCAGGTAGTTTAAATTTTAGTAAAAGCTACTGATCGTAGTAGGGTTGGCTTTTCTTTTTTAGTGACTTCTGATGTTAAAGCAGTGTCAATTTTGGGAGTTTTTAAAGTGCAGGGAGGGTGTAACCTTTTGTAGTGACATTCTGGTGGCTGTCCTGATCCACAGCTGATGATGTTCCACTTAAGTCACAATCCGACAATGGAACTGACAACTGATGCTCATCACTTTCAATGACGAGCCTGCCATTTTTACAATAGCACCTCTTGTTATCAGATCTGAGCAAAGTCAGTTTCTCACTCTGTCGCTTATAACAAATAATTATTAGAAACCGAGCAAAAACAATGAAAAATGTGAAAATAACACAAAGTACCCTATATTTCCAATCAAACTTTGTTTATAACATTCTTTTACAATAAGGGGCCATGTGGATTATATTAACCCTTTATATGTAAAAAAAACCCTAACATTTACATTAAGGGTTGCCGGTTGTAACGCTTAATTTATTTTTTTTACATTAAGAGCAATTTTTACATTAGGTGTTGTAACATACCTGTAGTGTCTATGCTTCAGGAAAAATACTGAAAACTCTCCTATACTCAGCCAAATTTATTGTTTTTGTAAAATAAATATTTAACACAAGAAAATGTCATAGTTCTTATCTGGCGTCAAAACAAACCTGGCTACTGCATTTGTGTCTTTGCTTGAAGCGTGCACAGTCTTGCTTTTGGTCCTGTGTATGTTCCAGGAACTTTTTCCCAAAGGTGGGAATGGGTCTTCTTCCATTTTTGCTTGTAAAGCAAACACCTTTCTTGTTTGGGCATAGATCCCTCTGATGCTGAAGGGGCTGATTCCTCTTTTTGCATGAAACACCAAGATTTATGCATCACTGAATGGATCAGGAGCCAGCAACATCAGACTCAGACTTCCTTCTATCAGTAACAACACCTATAAGATGAATGACACTCCCTTTACACTGCATCCTACCATCGATGAAGGCTACTGACAATCTTGTGAGGAAGCTGAATACCAGAAAGCAATTAAAGATGGCCAGATTCAGGGGTTTTAATGATGTGAACAATCGGTTCCTACATCAACTGGGTTGCTGCCAGTATCAGACACGCCATCCCCCGATTGATCAGCACACCAGGTCTACCTTTAGACCCTTAGTTAACATGACCTACAACAGGTGGGCTTCATACACAGCTCCTTGGACCATATCCTGAAGATGCAGGAAGACCTCCAGTTAACACAATTAGGGATGTCGGCATGGTTACTCCTCATGCATGCAACTAACTGGAATACTATTAAAAGCGGCATTTTAGATCATGACAAATCATTAACATGTAATACATAACAATGTGATCTTCATGACTGCATTACTACTTTGTACTACTTTTTAAAAACAAACATGAGGATATGAGAAGACTTGAGAAAGGAGAAAACTTCATACTGAAAGAAAAATGAGAAATACTGTCATTGGTATTAAATGTGAACATAGTTTTGTAATAATGCTTAATGTTTAAAGCTATAATAACTGTCAGAAAATCTTTAATGGTATTTCATCATTAATATACATTAATATTTTTTGTTTGTTTGAGTGACATCAAGTTTGACTTCATTAAGAGAAAGTGCACTATCCTGCTGAAAGCTTCCAAGATCCATTTCAAGTAGGCGTTCCAATAATATTGTTTTCTAATAGTCGCTTGTGCCCATGCATTCTCAGGTTGGAGTAAGCTCTTCCATACCAGAACTCTTCAGCGAGCTTCTTGTGAGGATGCACTATTCGTGGAAGCTCAACACCAGCCCATTACCCAGGCAGTGTTTCTTTCCTGAGTCAGCAGAGTGCTGACTAGGGCCGGTTTTAACTCAAATGAGTACAGAGGACATTCATTTCACATTGGAGAAGCCACCACAGCAGCTAGAGCTCGGGTGGAAGATCATCTCATTAGACAATGGGCCTCTGGCAAGCAGACTGCTTTCAAAGATATATCAGGATACTTTTCTCAATGCTCAGCAATCCTTATGTAGACCTTAATCTCACAAGTATAGACTCCATGCTCACCGCATGCCTGCAGAGATATAGCCTTAGTATTTATTTTTAGCAGTGCAGGGCAACACATGTATCTTGTCAATAACATTTTCTCGTATTTTATTCAGTCAATTAAGGTTGCATGGTTACCTTATCTGGTATGTGGCGATATGACAAAGATGTCTTCGTTCGTTAAGTGTGTTTATTCACGTAAGTGTAGCTGTGTACAGGAGGGTGGCTGAAGCCATGTGCTTCCAGCCAGCAGCATACTCGTGAGAGTTATATCTCCCCTCATGTCTTTGGCTGGGGCCCATTTAAGGATGGGGCCCACTTAGGGTTTAGCTAATACCACATCTCCCTTTGTTAAGCACAAAAGCAAGTTGAGAGTTCTCTAACATTAAAAACTAGTAATAAAAGAATAACTGTTGATGTTAAACTATACATCACAAATAATAATGTCCTTTCCATTTTTGGAGTAAACATACATTTGATCCTCAGTGTCTTTTACTGAAATCAAACACAATGTAGATTTAAATCTACTGAACTGTTAACTACTAACATGAAACAATAATGTTTCTTAACTGACTACTGTTCATTTTTCTACAAATCAAGTCTGTCAGGTTTAACTGAAACCCTTCCGGATCTGGTCAGAGTCACATCAGGTGGAATGTCACGCTGCACACTTGATGGCACACCAGACGAGACCTTCAAGGGCTGTGACCTGGCATCTGTGTTTGTTGGCTGCTTTTCTGGCACAGGAGTGAGGTGTCTACGATTCCTGCGCAGAATGCTATCACCTGCCTTGATGTAGAATGATCTTGGAGTTTCAGCCTCCCTGTGGATTTGACCTTCTCTGATGAATCCACTCATTAACATGCACCGTATCTCCCTCCTTCACCTGGGGAAGAATGCATGATCTGTGATGAGAGTCATAGTCCGATTTTTGGCGCTGTTGGATTTTGGTAAGCGACGACTTCACTTCCTGTGAAGATGGCTGATTAGCCTGAAGTTGAGATATATGAACTGGGAGTGTTGTCCGCAAGTTGCGTCCCATCAAGAGCTGAGAAGTGCTGAATCAATTCTGTAACGGTGTACTCCTATAGGTGAGGAGTGCCATGTAAGGATCAGATGATTTCTTCAAAAGTTGCTTCACAGTTTGAACTGCTCTCTCTGCCTCACCATTACTTTGTGGGTACCTTGGGCTACTTGTGATATGAGTGAAGCAATAGATCTCAGAAAATTTCTGAAAAACATAGGACGAGTACTGTGGACCGTTGTCAGAAATCACAATGTCCGGAATACTGTGTCTTGTGAGAATAGATTTCAGATGGTTTATCACACTTGCAGAGGTAGTACTGTCAAGTTTTGCAATCTCAATATACTTCGAGTAGTAGTCCACTACAAGTAAGTATGGTATGGAATCAAGTTCAAATAGGTTTGTCCCCACTT